TTCCTACACATCCTAGTCATTCTTCCTACACACTCCTGGTCATTCTTCATACACATCCTAGTCATTCTTCATACACATCCTAGTCATTCTTCATACACATCCTAGTCATTCTTCATACACATCCTAGTCATTCTTCATACACATCCTAGTCATTCTTCCTACACATCCTAGTCATTCTTCCTACACATCCTAGTCATTCTTCCTACACATCCTAGTCATTCTTCCTACACATCCTAGGCATTCTTCCTACACATCCTAGTCATTCTTCATACACATCCTTGTCATTCTTCATACACATCCTAGTCATTCTTCCTACACATCCTAGTCATTCTTCCTACACATTCTAGTCATCTTCCTGCACATCCTAGTCATTCTTCATACACATCCTAGTCATTCTTCCTACACATCCTATTCATTCTTCCTACACACTCCTGGTCGTTCTTGCCACACACTCTTAGACACTCTTCCTACACTCCCTGGTCATTCTGCCTACATAGCTCTGGTCATTCACCCTACATTCTCTGGTCATTCTTTCTACACTCTCCTCATCATTCTTTTAACACACTCCCAGTCATTCTATCTTAACACTCCCCTTGTCATTCTTTCTACACACCCCTGGTCATTCATTCTACATACGCACACACTTTTTCTGATCATTTTTCTTACACACCCCTAGCCATTCCTGATGCCCCCCCTTGTCATTTTTCCAATGCATACCCCTGGTAGTTTTTTTTTATACATAAACCCCAATAATTATTTTACATACATCCACTTTGGGCACCTGCTGTACAGAACCTACAACTTGTGAAGAAAGAGGACCTTTCCTTGACTGACTTCTGACCTCATTTGCAAACTCAAGACTGGCCCATGGGGCAATTGCTCCTTTTGCCAGCCCCTCCCACTGATGTTAGCTAATTTGAGCTGCAGGTTGATATTATTTTTGGTTACTGAATGACAGAATAAGCTGTACCTGCAGAGTGACTGATCTAGCAGAACGGGATTGCGGATCTGGAGTGATCTGGAATCTCTGCCTATTCGCTGTGTTCCTGAAAAACAGATTCAAGTACTAACGCATGCTGTAATGTAAAGCAAGGTGCAGGCTCTTCTAATTAAATGATACAATAATTTTCTAGCTTGCCTGTAGCCTTTTTATAGTCATTGTACCTTGTTACCCCTATTTTATACAAATTTCTGTCTGTGAATATTGATCTTTGTCAGTGTACAAATCTATTGGGCTCAGCAGGTAGAAGTAAAAGGCTAAACGATTTCATTGTGTTCTTTGTAATGCTTCATTGTACTTTTAAGTTCCTTTTGATACCCTAACAAGGTAGAACAAATCAAGTCAGCTTTTTTGTTGGGAGAAAAAAAAACACTTTTTAAAGTGAGGAAAAGCCTGATATCCTGTGAGCTTTTAATGACGGCGTCCCCAATATGAATATTTCCCCTACTTCCTGTCCCAGTGACATAAGGACAAGAAATGGGGGAATGGGTATCACTGGAATATGAAGAAAAGAAAGACTAGAATGCTGATCAGAAGAATAGAAAGAAATAAAATGCTGATGGATTCTCTAACCCTAATCCCCACTCTATTAAATAACTGCTTTATTAGTGGTCTCTGACCTCATCAGGAGATGTTAGGGTTCATTTACTAAAGGAATAGAGACTGTTCACTTTCAATAGTGAATGCAATATTTGTCAGTGTAGATGTTCACATCTTTCCATTGCGGAGTGCTGAGACGTAGGTGAATAGTGGCGTACTGCTTAGGTTCATTGCTGCGTCATTCAGCATGAATGGCATTGCAAAGCACCACACATAGCTTTGTGTGTTACCACATGTGGTCATACCTTGCGGTAAAGTGCTACTTCAATCACGCATTACTACTGCAATGCATTAGTGTCAATGGGCCCTAAGTTTGTATGTTTGTGCGCACTTCAGACTCCAGTCTTACTGATCAGTACTACACTGGTCAGCCAAGAAAATCTAAATTGCTCAAAGTCACTTCTCCATTTCTGTGCTACCGTCACACTATAGGCCAGCGTTTCTCAACCAGGGTGTTGTGGTACCCTGGTGTGCCTCCTGGCTTCAAAGATTCCGCACAGCGCCATGCCTCTCCACTGTACAGGCAAGCCTCTGATGTGAGGGGGCCTCCTCATGTGATGGTGGGCCTCTGTGAAAAGGGGAGTTCTAATGTAAAAGGGGACTCTGATTTGAAAGAGGAACTCCTAGTGCGAGGGGGTGGGGCTCCTGATGTAACGGGGGACTCTGATTTGGAGAAGGGACTCTCATGTGAAGAGGGATACCATTTTTTTTGTGTTTTGTAACTGGGGTCTCCCTTAAAATCCATACCACCCTAACCATCCCTTCCGCTCTTCCAAAGACCTCCTGCTTTCCAGCTCCCTTGTCAACTCCTCCCATGCTCGCCTCCAGGACTTCTCTAGAGTCTCTCCCATCCTATGGTACTCTTTACCCCAACCTGCCCATCTATCTCCCACTCTGACTGCCTTTAGGCGATCGCTAAAGACTCATCTCTTCAGGGAAGTCTATCCCACCTCAAGCTAACCACTCAACCATCACTTTCTCATACAACTCATCCCCACACAGCTACCTCCTCATGTATCACTTGCCCCTCCCTTTTAGATTGTAAGCCCTCACGGGCAGGGCCCTCCTTACCATCTTGTCTTGAATTGTATTGTGATTGTAAAGTCTTCCTTATATTGTAAAGCGCTGCGCAAACTGTTGGCGCTATAAAAATCTTGTATAATAATAATACCAGATCCCTATCTGTGATAAGGGTCTGGTAAGGGTTTTGGAGGGGCCACACATTGTTTTTTACATTGGATTTGTTACATTTTAGGTTGGGGTGCCTTTTTAAAACTGGGCAGATGCCCCTAGTTGGTGCTGGCAAGTACAGGAATTTCCTATACTCCTCAGCACCATCTC